GATAATCGTTTTGACCACAAGGGTCATCTGAAAGCTTCTTGTAGTCCTTGCAAAGGTCCCTGGGTCACACTTGAAGAAATGTTAGCATACAGGGAACTACACATTGTATTTTCATGTCTATTGTAAGTTACAATAAATTTATAATTACAGGAGCCAATGAATCATTATCTAAACTACAATAGTTCCTTCCCATTAGTAAAGCCCTTTTTAATTGTCCTGATTGAAACCATACTCTTGATATTTTAGACAGAGCACATAGAAATGGAAAGAAATTTGTTCAAAATACCCACGTTGAGCAGGTAATTAGAATGTTTATATTTGGAGGAAGTTACAGCAATTAATGGTGGGGTGGGACAGTGCTGAGAGCACTTAATGCAACAAGCCAAAGAAGTAGATGGAAGGACAATACCAAAAGATACTGTTTCCTTGTGCAGCAGTTTGGCCTAGTTAAAAAAGGGCTGGAGACACTGGTTGTTTAGTAAAGAGCATTGTAATTTTAAAAGTTATCTCTCTGCTATAGTAATTATAATAGATTACAAAGTTGCACATTTACATTCTTTTTCCCCATTTTCCTCCTTTGTGTTGTACTGACCAGGAGGAAGCCGGGACTAGAAAAACAGACTATGAGCTGAGAATCACAGCTCCTGTAGCAGCCTGCCGCTCACACTGTGTTTACTGTTCTCTTCTGCTGCTGCTGTACAATAGCCCAGGAGTCTTGGGATTGCCCAGGAGCAGTGAGAATAGAACAGTGAACACTGATGATAATTATTAATATTCTTGAATACCTAAAACATGCTAAGTAATTTTAAGTTATAGAAAAGTAAAATTGTACTTTATACTTAGGCACAATGCCTGTACATGAGTCAACTAACCAAAGTGTTACCCTCTTAATCAGCTGCATACTCAAGACTTCTGGGAGAGCCAAAAAGAAGAAAAATGGAAAATTATGAGAAAGGAACTATTACCTTCAACCTTAGTCTTGTCCTTGCTGCCCTAATAATGTTGAAATCATTTCTTGTGACTCTACTTGTGTACCAGCAGTCACAGGAATCATGCCAAAGGCACACATGAGCAGGAACTAACAAAGGACCCACTAATACAGGAGAGTAAATCACATGTTATTTAGAAGGAGGGCAAAAACAAAGCTAAATTTGAAATTAGTCATAATGATAACACTAGGTCAAAATGAACTTGATTTGAGCCTTTTACTTCTAAGGGGATCAATCCAGGTTTAAATAGATCTCAAGAAGAGAGTTTTTTTAACTCTTCTGCCCATTTTAAGGGCAGAAGGAATAATCCTACCAGAAAAGCTAAATGGAATCACACTTATTCATTGCTGAGGCAAAAGATACAGTAATCTGAGTTTGGTACAGCCATCTTTCAAGGCTTAGTCATGTTGAGATTCTGCACCCAATTCTAATGTGTATGTGGCAGGGAAGGCAGGTTTCCACACACCAACAAGTACTCTCTGAAAACCAGCTGGATGTCCTACAATTCAACTAAATTCTGACACTGTCTACCTGGAGATAGCATCAGATTCCACAAGGTAAGAGCTCAGTCCCACAAGGCTGTCCCCACCCCTCCACTTCAAATGCCAGTCCCAAATACATTTGTCACCTGTGCTTCTGACAGACTGGCTGTAGATGAGAGCTTCCTACCACCTTCTGCTTGGGTTCTATTCATTTGCCAGAGCAGCTTACAGAACTCAGAAAAACCTTTTACTTACTAGATGACTGGGTTCTCATATAAGGGCACAACTCAGAAACAGCCAAATGGGGATTCCATGCATCTCTGAGCTCAAGTCACTCTCCCAGCCACTCCTTGTGTTCACCAACCAGGAAGCGCACCGAGCCCTCCCTATTGGAGGTGTGGGCAGCTATGGAAGCTTCACTGCACAGGCAAGTTTGATTAACTCAGTGGCCATTGGTGATTAAACTCTACCTCCTCTCCCCTCCCTTAAAGCAAAGTAGGGGGTAAGGGGTTAAAAGTTTCAACACTTCAATCACATGGTTGCTTCAACCAGCCTTCAAGTAACTTCAAGTAACTTCAGAGTAACAAAAGTTGCCTTTGTTGCTCTCATCACTCAGGAAATTACAAGGGTTTTAGGAGCTGGAAACAGGACTAAGGCCAAATATGCAGGTGTGGGCAAAAGTAGGTTTACAGTTGAGAGTACCCAAAACCCGATTGATTCTTGCATTATTTATTGTCTTCTGAATTTTCCATATGAACTGTAAACCTACTTTTGCCCATCCCTGTATATTTCTTATTATAAATCACAGTTTCACACCTGGCAACTAGTTAAGTTATATTATACACTTGCTTGAATTTTCTTGCTTCCTGCAATAATTTCTCAGCCATATTTTCTAATGTAACACCCCTTGGTTGAAAAGAAAGCACTTTCGTTTCTATACATCTGTGTGAATCTATCTCACTGTCCTCTTTCTTCGTAACATCCTTGAGCTCCAGCACAAGTACTGCTGGTGCAATAACCCCTAACATCCCGCTCCCCTGCCCTGACCCCAATAATGGTCACAGACAGATTTCAGCAATGGTCTAAGACTGAGAAACTAATGCTATATTGTTTTGACAGTTATAAATTGTGTAAAACTTACTATTTTAGGACTTTCCATATGCTAGATAGAATTCATTAAAATCTGTTAGATGTAATTCCACCAAAATTCTACTTCCCATTATATTTATCAAAATATACTGAATATTTACTACCAAAATTATATTTTTATTGTGGTTGCTTAAATTTCTTTACCTATCTTCAGAAGGCAGATAAAAGTTATATTTTAGCTCACCTATGGGCCGCCAGTCATTTTAGGTGCTTTGAAATTTCCCTTATACGGAGTATTATGTTTTAATGTAAAATATTGGTTTTTTTACACTGGTATTGGAATTTTTTAATCCCTTTCTTAATCGATAGGCTACTTCACAGGTGCTCACCTCAACCAACTTATAAAAACAAGTGTGGGAGAACAGGCCGCACACTAAACCTGTCAGCTCAGGGGAGACCTGCGTGGTGGCCTCGAAAACTCGAGACCGAAAGTAACCACAGAGGATGGTCTGAAAGGAAAACCTTAACTAGAAGCAGTTCATGGAGGGTAGTCATGTTCTAGGCCAGTATTTTTCTCTAACAAATGTCCATCTTTATCTTAATTGAGGCTGCCCCTTGTCTTTGTGCATCAATGATAACATACCTTTGGAATATCAAGGTAACTTCCCATTTTCCAAAACTCGTGGTTACATCCACCAGAGCTAAGACCACAAGTTCCCTCACTGTTATTGGTATCGTGTTAATTGTTGATTGTTACCTATCCTTTATCCACCTATGGGATAAGGCACTACCCACCCTGATAAGATATTCCTTTTGCATGAATTGTTATCTTGTCTAATATAAGTAAAAACAGTAACGTGGCAATTATGTTATAATAATTTGATTAAGTAATTTTGGAAAGCTTGTAAATGTCAGGTTGAGTATTAAGGGTTTTATATGCATTGTATCTCATATTTTTATTGGGAATAAATTATAAATTGTTCTTATGAGAAAGATATAGCTAAAAACAGTTTGAAACACAAAACTCCACTAGCAAAACTAGTTTGCTAGACACTAAATAATTTTTAAAGGTCATGCATTATAAATGTCAAAGCCAGAATTTATTCTAGATCTCACTGACTGCAGAGCACAATGACCAAATTATTAAATTACATTTTCTTTTACCTATATAAAAGAAGTGTCTATCATTTTACATTTTATCCAATCCCAGAGCTCCCTCTTTGCTTTCTCCCACCCCCTCTATCCCATCACCAGTGGATTTCATGTAACCCCCTTATGTCTCCTCCTTTGATTATAATGTATAAAATAAGGTGCTAAACTTCCATTTTCCAGAGCATTTCTCAGTTCTTTGAGATTCTGTAAGTGTCGTCAGTTTGGCTCACATAAACTCACAAAAATTCTCTACAGGTCTGAATGTCTCTTACATTGACACAAGCTTCTTAGAAATGTCTACGACTGCTTCATAAACAATTATGGCAGCTGAATATACTTATTCATGGACTGAGAAAAGGTAGTAGTAAGCACTGCTATTCAACTTACCAAATAGATAAGGATTTAGAAGAATTGAATTGATTGAATCATTTAACTGTTACAGCAGCTAATAATATATATATACATATCTAGTTTATAATGGATAAAAAATTTGTACCACTGTTAGCTTAGACAGCTTAGATCATAGCTTAAACTGTTCTTATAATAAGGAAGATATAGCTAGAAACAATTTGAAACACAAAACTCCATAGACACTTAAGGTACACACTGGAGGTAGGATTTTTAAATATAAATATTTAGTGTCAGGAGAAAATGATGGTGGCTTTGGTTAGAAATACTATCTCTTCTTTTAATGGAAAAAAAAGAAAAACAAAATGCTAGGAAATTCAGAAGTACTAGGAGTCAAAAACATCCCTTTTTATTTTACTAAACATCTTGTTATAAGAAAGAATAACCTTTCTAGACCATCTTCATTTTAAAGAACACACAAGTGAATGTTTTATTTCTGTTATTTTTTTCCTCATTTTTGAATTTGCAATGCTCAGTAACTTTCTTAAATGAGATCTAGTTCTATTAGTCTGAACACTTACATGACTGAGTCTAAAAATTGTTTTCCGTGTCCAATCTCAGAAAAAAGTTCACAGCAAATATCAAGTGTAACATTTGCTCTAAGCTTTTTGCAGATATTTACATCTGATTAAGAAAGATTTCTTTTACTCTTACCTTGCAATAGTTTCCCTATGAACAGGTATTATATCTCCTTTATTTTGTTAATAAGGTAAAATATATTGATTCAATTTCAAATGTTAAGCCATATTTTCCTTTCTAGAATAAATACTTTGTCAAGTTTTAAAAAAATAAAAATCATTTTCCATATTGCTTACATTTATGCTTAGTTTTTAAAACTTTTTAAATACCTTAGGGTACAACTGTCTTCTTGCCTCTACAGCAATCGTGTGGAAGCATGGACAAGAGATGTTGCTTTTTTACTCCGACAAGAAGGCAGACCTATGGTTAACCTTATCCCTAAAAAGACTAAAGTAAGAGTAATGGAAGAGGACTGGAAGACTACAGACAGAGCAGTGAACTGGTTAAGAAAAGCAGCAACTAATCACACTCAACCATTTGTTCTGTATTTGGGATTAAATTTACCACACCCTTATCCTTCACCATCTTCAGGAGAAAATTTTGGATCTTCAACATTTCAAACATCTCATTATTGGCTTAAAAAAGTAGGTATACCATGTGTGCTCAAAACTAGAAGTTAACATTTTATCTGTATGTTCTGGTATTTACTCAGTTTCTTTTATTATCACTTTTAAAGAAAAATTTGAATATTGTATATTCTCATTAAATCAAATTGACCAGTAACTGGTTGACAAAAGCTGAAGGGGCGATTTACAAAAATAAAATGTGTTAACACTTAGAAACCTACTTCTGAATTGAATACATTTGCATATAATATGTCTATTAAAAGAGAAACTGAAAGACATTCTCTAAGGAGTGAAGATAGGGTTCACTTTGCACAGTTCAGGGTTGTAAAGATGACCACGTGGGCCGAACCTGCACGGGGAGATCTTAATAATTGATTGGGAGAATGACCGTTTTTCTAGGATTCTTAAAATGTTTGTCAAAACATTTAAATCTCCCTTATGTGGGGCTGTAAATGTGTAAGGAAATGAAAACCAGTAAAACTAGTATTTATTTAAAGCACTGTAACAAAACACTAGAAACACTGAGAATTAAAGTGTTTTTGCTTGTTGTAAGAAAAAAATAATCAAGAGTACTTTGAACAGTGCTTGTGTTCTCATTGTGTAATGTGGCGTGGAGCAAGCCTCTTCTCTGTGTCTGGGCATATTGTCATATTCCTTTCTAAATATGGATTACCTTCCAGCATTTTGCCCTTCACACTTTCAATGTTGTGATATAGTCCTGAGAGTGCCTCTCATGTGAAGATCTTTGCCCCCGTCACCTCCTCTAGGACATGTTCACCCTTTCTTTCCAGTGACCGTCCTCATATCGATGAGCGATGAGCGATGAGCGTGCGTGTCTCCACTAAGTTCCTCCAGCTGCATATCTCGCTGCGTCAGCATTCCCGTGTCAGCTGTTCCTTCTGCAACTCCAGTCAGTGTTTGATTCAGATTTCACTCCAGCGATACCACTTTTCATCGCTTTATTCTACATTCCTCCCTGTTAACCAGCTCCCTGTTGTGATGACCCATTTTTATGCAGTGTCACATGGACTTGCCACTGGGACACAGAGGGGCAGCACAACCACACACCCTGCTGTCTGTGTGTGTGCTGAATCACGGATGTACAGTGACCAGTCAGGACAGACTTGGGAAGAAATGGCCTGATTAGTCACTGATACACTTCTTTCATTCCCGAGTGATTTGTAGACTAAAGAACAAGCAGCATATGGATATGAAAGCTTGTACTTTATACGATGACTCAGTTAACACACCTTGTTAACTAAAATCTGAACCCTGTTGTTGGGAGACTCGTGTTACCTGACCAAATGGTGATAACTGAAATCTGTGCATATCTGAACCACCCGCAGGAAGGCTGCCTGTGTTTTGAAATATATTATCTTAAATCAAATTTAACGTACTTCAAAAACTCGAATCAGGCCCTGGCTGGGTGGCTGAGTTGGTTGGAGTGTCATCCTGTACACCAGAAATGTTGATCCCCGGTCAGGGCTCATACCCAGGTTGCAGGTTCAATCCCCAGTCAGGCACGTACGAGAGGCAACAAATCAATGTTTCTCTTTCTTTCTCCCTTCCTCTCTCTCTAAAATCAGTAAATGTATCCTCAGGTGAGGATTTAGAAAAAAAATCTAGTCAGAAACACTTTAGTGCACCCTATTTTAAAGGAAGTATTGTCAAAGTTTCAAATACATCATTGTCTTTTCAAAAAGTTCTAACTGATTCCATATCTAAAAGTTCATTTGGAGTTAATATTAGCCTAATGAAATGATTCAAATAACCTTTAAGTAAGTAGATACTTGAAATTTTTAAAAATTATTTTATTGTTGTTTGAGTACAGTTGTAATCTAATCAACAAAACAAACAAGCAAGCAAGATACTTGAATTTTTTTAAGTTACATGACTAAAAGGTATGTATGACTTAAATCTTGTCTTGTTTTCACCAAAACTGTAAGCACTTCTATATGAAAAAGTTGTTTTTGTTTTTTAACAAACAATTGGCTATCTCACTAGATACCGTCATTTTGGCTAGTGAATTATTAGAAAAAAGGAGTCTGTATTCCTAGGTTGATGATTCAGAAACTGGAGTTGATCACACAACTATTTAAAGTGCTCAGACCCTTCTTCTGAACTAGATACTGTCTAATACAGCTCATGTTATTTTCACTGACATGTATAATTTTAAAAATTTTCACAACTGTTTCACTATATGTACAGATATTAATATATAACTCTTGCTACTACTGAGAATATTAAGTTTGTTTTTAATTTATGTATTTGATTATGTACATAATTTATAACCATTCTTTTCCACTATATTTGATAATTAAAGTATATTTGTTGGATGAGAAGAACATCACTACTCTGTTTTTCTCCCCGTTTTAGGTGTCTTATGATGCCATCCGAATCCCAGAGTGGCTGCCTCTGTCAGAGATGCACCCTACAGACTATTACTCTTCGTACACAAAAAACTGCACTGGGAAGTTCACAGAGAAAGAAATTAAGAACATCAGAGCATTTTATTATGCCATGTGTGCTGAGACAGATGCCATGCTTGGTAGGTGATATAGTAATTAGCAATTTCATGAAGAAAAAGTATATTTTCCCAAGAAACAATGATTATGCTGGTTGGTGACTTGTATGAACATCCTGAGATAATTTCTTTTATCAGTTGCTTAGATACTTCAGACTTAGGATTATAAGGTTCTTGACACATACAAAAGTTGAATAATTTGCATTAATAATAGCAGAATAAAGGCCTTTTCTATTTTAATTATTCATAAATTAATAAATGGTTAGATCTGTTCATATACAAAGAAAGGGTAATGGAGCACAAGGTCATCTGCTTGGAACAAATCCCTGTACCAGCTGTAATCAGGAATTAGTACGGGTGTGCCTCTTTATTGCACTTCACAGGTGTTGCATTTTACAGAAATTAAAGGGAAGACCCTCCACCAGCAAAAGAGTACAGCTTTATTGCAGTGGTCTAGAACCGAACCCAAAACATTTCTGAGGTATTCAGTCAAACACAGGTACATGTGTGACAGGTAACTAAGGCAGCTTAGGTTCTAGATTCTCGAATCTGGAAGGTGAGACAGTTTAGTTGTAAACCTTGTGACTTCTCCCAGACTTGTAATACCTACAGAACCAATGCTTCTCCCCAGGCCCTTCAGAGCAAGGCTTAACTAAAGGTGAAGTCAGTTTCCCCATGTATATTCTGGTCCAAAATCATTGTGAATTTCCTTCTCTAATTCAGCTCAAAACCAAATTTGTCTCCCTAAAATGATTGTCAAGAATGTGTTTGGCCTACTGACTTGTAGAGTTGTGGCCGTTTCCACTTCAGGTGGAGGAACCCTAGTTTAAAAAACATACCCATTTTTGTAACATGTTCTTTTCACAAACCATATCATTTATTTTGCTGCACAGTGGAATAGAGCATTTCATTAACAAAGTATGGGTAACACCTTTTCTGTACAAAGTAAACCTTGGTAGAGAACAAGTGAGTGGCTGTTTCTTAAAAAACGTACACTGGGCAAAAATAGAAAAGTATAAAACAGGAAGCAAAACAGCCATATGGATAAATTACTTATAATATACCAAGTATAATATGTATTAAGTCTTAAGGACTTTCCAGCTACTTAATTTAAAATGCAAGTAAGATTTTAAGTTAGTTTCTTTAATCCTTAAATCCACACAAATGTTGAATTGTATTTATGTATTTTCTGATATTAGTGATAGTCACTCATTTGCACTTTGGAAATCTTTTCCATTCATCCATATCCACTAAAGTGAAATAGTATATAATGTTATGCAGGGAGTGTGGGAACACTACTCTTGGAGTCTCTTCAGGAAAAAGTCTCTTCAGGAAGCAGCCCACTTCAAGTTGCCAAGGTTATGAAATACACTGTATCCTTGCTGTTAAATCTCCACTGGTTTGGTCACCAAATATAGTAGTATTTATTACTGTTCACGATGCTCGTTCAAACACATTTAGTGCCACCTAGTGATCAGGCATAATGTCAGGCATTGATAGTATTAAGTTGAATGTTATCAACAAATTATGTATTAATTAAAAACTTTCTGGGCATGCACTCTGCCTCAGGGCCTCATATGCACTGTTCCCTCTGCCCGGGATGCCCTTCTGTTGGGGACCGCCCTGCCTGGTATCAGAAGCTGTAACCCCCACCAAGGCTAAGGCTGAGGGAGTGGCCTTGGACTGGAAACCAGCAAGGAGACAAAAGCTTATCTCCCTGACAGGAGCACTGCTTCTGCTGCTTCATTCATAACTGAACCCCAATGCTTGGTCAGTTAGCCAGTGATGGGTAAGATTCCCCAAGGGGGGAACGATCTAAGACAGGCACGATCACATGGGAGGCCCCCAAGAAAGGACTTTGGAGGCTACAGCAAAAGGGGGTGATGGACCCTCACTCATCGCTGTGAGATAGCCTGAGTCCCCATTGTCTGGGAGAAAATCTCTTTATCCCTTGGCTGCCTTACTTCCCTTGCTCTACCTAAGCCTGAAACAATGACAGGGTGGTGCAGCTCTGTGTTGAAAAGGGAGGGTTCCCTGGGTGATCAGGCCTAAGAAAGAATATGTAAGATCCTGTGAAACCTGCTTTTGTTTAGAATGCTCTCAGTTGAATGATAAGGGTCCAAGGAAGAAGTAAGTTTGTTCTTTAAAGTTTTACAGCTCTTTGACCCTGACTCAAAATAGGCCCTCAGACTTCCTTGTTATCTATTGTTTGATCCTTACTTCCTAGCAATGAGTAATGGGCTTTTACCTGAATTTTTATTCAAATAAAACCAATAAAAAGCCTCTCCGGAAGGGGAACGGCATGCTCCCCATGTGAGGAGTGGCCAAGCAGCACCCTCTAGGAGAGAGGGTGGCCAAGGCACTCCCCATGTGAGGAGTGGCCCTGCTGTTCCTATTCCCCCTAGGACCTGGTTGTCTCTGTGTATGTTTTTAGCATGTTTTGATGAACATCCACAGCCAAGATAGATACTGCTGGCCGGTATCCACCACACCCTTCCCTTTTTTTCCATGGCTGGCTATCATCACTCTTTAGCCATCAGCTCAAATACCACCTCCACAGGAATATCTTCCCAGCCACTCTGAGTGTACCCTCCCCATCATCCTACTTACTCTATACCTTGTTTGCTTACATCATAATCTTTATTTTGTCTATTTACTTGTTTATCATCCATTTCCCTTGAAAAATAGGAGCTTCGTGAGGGCAGGGACATTCAGTCTTACTCAACATTGCATTTTAGGTGCCTAGCTTTGCATCCACAGTGCCTGCCATGTAGTGAGAACTCAGTAAAACATTTACTGGTGATTATAATACATGGTAACCACAGCAGTGCATAAGCTGTAGGTTCTGGGAGGTCAGAATGATTCACTCTGCCTGGAGGAGCAGGGAGCTTCACCGGGGGAAGATGCTTGAGCTGGGGCATAAAGGAAGAAGGGCAATTCACTAAGTGGTTGGTGGGAGAAAAGGCATTTGACATAGAAGGCAAGAAAGTCTAAACTGATAAATATAAGTTCAGGGAATTCTAAGTTGTTAGGATTGTGAAACTTAAAGGTCTGTGGGTATGGAGCTTGGAGAGTAGACAGGGGCTTTGTGTGTCAGGCTAAAGAATTAAACAATGGGAAGCTTCAAAAAAGGTTTAAACTGGGTGTAATGTGATCAGAAATCTTAGAAAGATATCACCAGGTGGCACAAGAAATATTGTGGAAGGGAAGGAGTGCAGGCAAGAAGACCAGTTAGGAAGCAATTTCTGTTGTCCAGTTGAAAATCCTGATGGTCAGAACTCCATCAATAACTCCACAGAGCGCTGGGTCTCATTTCTGATTGGAGCTCTGAGTCATCTGTCACTTTTAGTTTTGTTTTGTTTCATCTTTTAAATAGCACAGCAGCACCCTGTATCCTAGATTGAGGAGATGCCAAAATAGGGGATACTATTCTCTTTGGACAATACAGTGATCTCTTAATTACAATGAGGAAGAAGTTTCAGGACATGAAGGAACAGGGACTGACCGGAGGAATTTTACTGTGCAGGCATTCCCTGTCCAGGAATATGCTAAATCACACTCATATGCTATTTGTACTGCTTCCAGCCCATCTTCAAAGATGGGATTTCCATAACCCTCCGCCACCTTCATGGACAAGATCTGGTGATTGTGGATTTGGGAAAAGTGTGGCAGGGAAGGGGAGTTCTAACCCCTCTTACCACCTCCCATTGGGCAGAAATTATGGGTCAGTGCAATATCAACCCTTTCATTATCTGAGACGTGTAGTACTGATGTCCAGACTTACGTTTTTTTTTTCTTTCAAGTCACTAAAGGGGAAAAAAATTGCCCTGTTCTCCAAAGGAATATAGAAAGCATGCCAGCATGATCTTCAAATAAAAGAAACTATCCTATAAGTATTATATTTTCTCCTTCCTCTCTCTTGTCTGTCAGCTGAGGAAGAGGCACATGAAACTTGGTATTACTTACTTAAGAGCAGTAAATATTACTCAGATGTTAAGAAGCATTCGGACCACCTCTTATAGGATAGAGATGTTATGAACTTATTATGATAGAATAAAACATTAACTAAAAACTAATTAAGATTTACCTTGATTATATTGTAGGTGAAATTATTTTGGCTCTTCACCAGTTAGGCCTTCTTGAGAAAACTGTTGTCATATACACCTCAGACCACGGCGAGCTGGCCATGGAACACCGCCAGTTCTACAAAATGAGCATGTATGAAGCAAGCGCCCATGTCCCACTCTTGATAATGGGGCCAGGGATTCAGGCCAACCTACAAGTATCGAATGTGGTTTCTCTTGTGGATATTTACCCTACTATGCTTGGTAAGTAATGTAATTCTATAAATCTTTATTTGTAATAATGCTGGAGAATGAATAAGCAAAGTAGTCCGGCCCTGCTGACTTCTTTATAACCTTGAGCAACTCCTTTAAGTATGAGGCAAATCCATATCTGAAATATGAAGATAATATTGCTTTGGTTCCCTTGGCCTTCACTTACTTGTAGCCATCACATCAGGACTATGGAGTAAGCCACAGAAGATATTCAGGTTCATAACTTCATAGATATGATATGTACAAGGTCTGTCCAGAAAGTATCCAGACATGTGATATGAAAAATGGAGAAATTCACTGGAGAAAATACAAAATACAAGAAACACTGTACATAGGACAGTGATGCCTCAGTCTCCCTCAAAGTAGGCACCTTGGGACCTCACACAGTTCTTCTAGCATCTCTTCCACTGTTGCGAACTCCTTTGTTGGAATTGTCATCAGCTGCCCCTTTGTATTTTTTTGGATCTCATTGACAATCTGAAATCTCTTCCCTTTCAAAGGTGATTTTAGCTTTAGGAAAAGCCAGAAGTTGCGGGGCGCCAAATCTGGGCTGTAGTGGGGCTGAGTCACCTGGGTGATTTGATGTTTCACCAAAAAACTCTGTATGAGACAAGATGCATGAGCAGGCACGTTGCGATGAAGCTGCCAATCACCAGTTGCCCATAGCTGTGGCCATTTTCTTCGTATTGCATCTCTCAGCTGACAAAGAACATTGTTATTAATCCTTATTAATTGTTTGGTCTGGAGGAGCATACTCATGATGGACAATACCTTCCCAATCAAAAAACACAGTCAACATGGTCTTGATCTTGCTGCAACTTTGCTGCACCATGTTTTGGTGTGGAGACCCAGGCAACTTACATTGGGATGACTAGGCCTTCATTTCTGGATCATAGCTGTAGATCCACCGTTCATCTCTGGTTTTGACCTTCTTGAGGAAATCTGGTTCATTGGTAGTAGTTTGAATCAAGTCATTAGCAACTGCAGCACAATGTTCCTTCTGTTCTGGTAGCAGAAGCCATGGAACAGATTTTGCCATGACATGTTTCATGCCAAGATCCTGTGTCAAAATCTCAGACACAGATCAGCTTCTAGTTCTTGCACTGTCAGTCACCCATTTTTGTTGATTGCATCCCTTACTCGTTCAACATTCTCAGGTGCTCTGCTTGTTGGCAGGCCTTCCAGAACATGAATCACTTTCAACAGATTCTCAACCATCTTTTAAGAGTTTCTTCCGCACTTTTATTTGCACTGCACGCATTGCATCATCCCCAAAAGCTTCCCATGTCATCTGAATTGTTTCTGTGGAGGAATGTTCAAGCTTAACACAAAATTTGATGCAGATTTGTTGCTCTACTCAGTTTGAATGCAATGACCACACAGTACACATGCTCACTCAACAGCATGTACCAGCCCCACTGGCTAGTAGTAAAGTCATCATTGTTCACACATGAGCAATCCAGTCCATACTCCTTGGCTGCCAGGTTACATCGATGTCATACAAACCACTCTTTTTATATTAACAATGGCTGGATTTTTCCCAGACAGACCTTGTATATCATCTGATTCTTCACTTCCCTAAAACGTAAGCATTTCCCTTCTTGATTATTTCATCCACTTTGAAACTACTAATTTTGTACAGTGTTAGCAAAGTCCCTTAATCTGATTCTATGAACATTTCTCCTGAGAATCTTTAGATGGTTCTGAACTATCTGCTTTACTAGTTTCTTAATGTCTATAAGCATAACCATAGGTCTGGAACAGCAACATTTGGATGGTGGTACTTAGAAGTTTTTACTAACATACTGCCATCATCAACACAGAGGGAATTATAGAGAACGGTTAGTTTTTATCTAATTTAGTAGAGTACTTCAAGTACAATATAATTTACATATTATATTTCCACTGCTTTAAAGAGGCGTCAGTTACAAAAAGCACTATCAATCTGTAAATAGATTTTGGTGAAAGAAAAAGATAATACAACATAAGATACATATGTTTAATATATATATTAAAATGTGAAAGAAACAAGTCTCTGAAAAATCAAGAAATAAGAGAATTCTTTTTATCTCCTTCCTTCTGCTACAGAGTCTTTCTCTTCATTTACTTAAAGACTATTCCAAGGTCTTAATTTTTTTTACAGTTCATTTGTATCAGCGTCTTTTCCTTTTCTATTTCATATTACTTCTTGTATATTTGAACACAATTCTTTGTTGTTCTTTTGCCTGATGTATATTTTTAATTTCAGTTTCTTAGTCATCATTTGCTGGTTCTCCTTTATCTCGAAGCAGTTTTAACACTTAGCCATATGTCTGCCCCTTTCCGGCTCCACTAGTCCCTATTACTTTTCCCCATTTCTAGGAGGGAAGGGGAGAACTGGGCAGAGGGGAGCAAAGGGGGAAAATTGGGACAACTATAATAGCATAATTAATAAAATATACTTTAAAACATAAATGTACATGCAACTATGTACATTTGTAACTATTTTAAGTATCTCCCTTATTATCATCTTTATAATCTTATGAATATATGCTTATTTATATCGGCATTTCTTTACAGCTTCCTCCCCTAGTTTTTCCTCATGTACTACTTTCCCCACCCTACCCCATTTCCAGTGAAAAGCCTCCTCAGGATCATCAAATTAGATTAACTTTTTAGCCTTGTTCAGTTTCCTTGAGGTACAATGATTAAGGTTGGGTGATTATTTCTCAGTTTTCCCCCAGTATATTTCATGGTGATATCTGGCACTTTGTCTACAGTATATCCTAATTTGTTCCTAGTCATCCTATCACCTTATATGCTAGTTGATTAATATGCATTGTTTAAATCACTTTTTTAAAAATATTTTTTATATTTGCCCTTGATGTAAATTCTCTATTTTACAATCTTGAGATAAAAAAGTATGCACACTGTTTTTCAAAATATACATATGCATGTATAATTCTGAAATTCCAATATTAGAGAATAAACTATACATGAACAGAAAAATTTATCTCTATCGTTAAAAAGTAGAAACAGTATGAATATATAGTAGTAATAGAGTGGGTAAAAAATAGCCAACTTTATTTTAAAAGATGAAATGATATGTGAAAATGACCCCCATGTATTATTGGAAAGGACACGTAGAGCCCTTTACTCCTGGAGGACTGTCTTGCAGTGCAGTTGGTTTCATCTTGGGCAGTTCCTTTCTCTCGTGTGTTCTCTTCAGTGTCTTTCCGCCTTCTGCTCCCTATTTTTAACCAGTTATCTCTGAAATAGTTCTTTTTAAATTAAATTTATTGGAGTGACTTTAGTTAATAAGATCATATAGGTTTCAAGTGTACATTTCTATGATACCAGATCTGTAGTTCTTTCCTTTTCTTTCTTTCTTGCTTTCTTGCTTTTTCTTTCTTTCTCAAAACACCCTGATTATCATTGGTTGGGAGAAGATTAGTACTTGCAATATGCCCCCTCCAAGGAAATAGAAGATACAAAATTTTTAATTAAGTTATAGTTAAAACAGGTGCCTAAAGAAGACTTACAGAGGTCTTTTTCTATTTTTTTTATTCTCCTTTAATAAACCTGTTTTTCCACAAATACTTATAGTAAAGCTAAATTAATTTTCCCATTCAATTTTAATTTCCAGCAATGCAGATATATTGCTTCTATTTTTCTTTAGAAATATTTAATTATATGTAAAACCATAGAACACTGGAACCAGAAAAGGAGTGGAGAGGGCAACCACAGACCCATTGTGGAGCTCTCCCAAGTACCCAGCCATAATTAATGGTAATTTTGCCATAGAAAAAACATAGTTTGGATTAAAGAAAAATACCTTAAAAGTAATTTTTACATTGTTGCATTATAAATACCTCTTTTAAACAACCTCTTTATAAGTTAGACATTTCTCATCCTATTGTTTATATGTCTATATTTGATGAGGAAAAAAATTATTTTCCCTAAATAGGTATAACATAGGTTTCCAGCATATGTTCTGCAAAACACTAATTCCTCAAGATACGACCTTGAGGTAAAAAAAAAAAGTCCTATCATCAAATAACTCTGGGACACATGGCTTAGTATATACCACCTCTTAAGGTATATGTTATGCATCAGCAGTAAATTTACATCTACAATGAATTTACCTATTTAATTTTAACCATTGTTTGACAACATGTGACAAATCCCTTTCTTATATAGGTCTTATTAATATCTTATGGGACAAATGTGAGAAACAACAGTGATTATTTAATCATTCAGAAATAAAGGACTGAAATATTAATTAACATTTGTTGAGGGTTTCCTGTGTGCCAGGCACTGGTCTCAGAATTTTACATAAATTATCATATTGAAACCTAAAATAAACCTATAAAATACAGGTACCATTACTATTATTCCCCTTTTACATATGAGTAAACTGAGGTTCAAAGTGGTTAATAACATGCACAACCATAGTTAGTAGAGAACACACTTGGATCCAGACAATTTTTTTACAAAATCCGTACATAGTCCCTAGTCTCCATGACCTTTGATGATGTCATTTATGACTGCCCCACAAATGAAAAAATGAGTTATTTTAAAATATTGTATTATTTGTGTTATAGACATTGCTGGAATTCCTCTGCCTCAGAACCTGAGTGGATACTCTTTGTTGCCATTATCATCAGAAATATTTAAGAATGAGAATAAATTTAAAAACCTACATCCACCCTGGATTCTCAGTGAATTTCATGGATGCAATGTGAATGCTTCCACCTACATGCTTCGGACTAACCAGTGGAAGTACATAGCCTACTCTGATGGTGCTTCAGTATTGCCTCAACTTTTTGGTAAATTTGTTTATATATATATATATATTTTTTTTAAGCTTAATCTTTATTGAATTTTTCTTCATTACCATTTAGCCCTCTTACACCCTCTTTCCCTCCACAATCACTACATTGTCGTCCATGTCCATGAGACCTTTTGCCTTTTTGCTCAATCGTTCCACCCCCTAACCTCCCCTCCCCGAACTAGCTTTTATCTACTCTCCATCTATGAATGTCTCTGTTTTGCTTGTTGGTTCAGTTTGTTCATTTAATTCCACATATGACTGAAGTCATACAGTATTTGTCTTTCTCTGACTGGCTTATTTCTCCAAGCATAATATTCTCCAGTTCCATCCATACTGTTGCAAAGGGAAAATTTTCTTCTTTTTTATGGTCAAATAGAATTAATTCCATTGTGTAAATGTCCCATAGTTGTTTTATCCATTTATCTACTGATGGACACTTGGGCTGCTTCCATATCTTGGCAATTGTAAATAATGCTGCAGTGAACATAGGGGTGCTTATGTTTTCTCGAATTAGTGTTTGGGGTACCTTTGGATATACTCCCAGAAGTGGGATCCCTGGGTCAGAAGGCAGATCCATTTCTAATTTTTTGAGGTATCTCTATACTGTTTTCCACAGTGTCTGCATCAATCTGCATTCCCACCAAAAATGCAAAAGGGTTCCCCTTTTCTCCACATCCTCCCCATCATTGTTCTTTGTTGATTTATTGATAGCTGTTCTGACAAGTGTAAGATGGTATCTCATTATAGTTTTAATTTTCATTTCTCTGATGATTAGTGACATTGAGCATCTTTCCATATGTATGTTGACCATCTGTATGTCCTCTTTGGAGAAGTGTCTATTCAGGTCTTTTGCCAATTTTTTAATTGGGTGGTTTGTTTTTTTGGTGTTGAGTTTTATAAGTACCTCATAAATTTTAGATATTAACCCCTTATCAGAAGTATCAGGGAATATGTTCTCCCATTCTTTGGGTTGTCTTTTTATATTGTTGAGGTTTTCCTTTGCTGTGCAAAAACTTTTTAGTTTGATGTAGTCCCATTTGTTTATTTTTTCTTTTGTTTCTCTTGCTTGGGGAGATATATCTGATAAAAAATTTCTACGAGCAATATCTAAGATTTTGTTGCCTATGTTTCCTTCTAGGATTTTTATGGTTACAGGTCTAACATTTAAGTCTTTGGTCCATTTTGAATTTATTCTTGTGCATGGTGTAAGAAGCTGGTCTAGTTTCATTTTGCTGCATGTATCTGTCCAATTTTCCCAACACCATTTATTGAATAAATTATCATTAGCCCATTGTATGTGTTGCTTCCTCTGTAAACAGTAGTTAACTGTAAAAGTGTGGGTTTATTTCTGGGCTCTCTATCCTGTTCCATTGATCTGTGTGTCTGTTTTTATGCCAGTACCAGGCTGTTTTGATTACTATGGCCTTATAGTATAGTTTAACATTAGGTAGCGTGATTCTTCCAACTTCATTCTTCTTCTCAGGATCACTGTTGCTATGCAGGGTCTTTTGTGGTTCCATATAAATATTTAAAATATTTGTTCTAGTTCTATGAAGTATATCATTGGAATCTTGATAGGAATTGCGTTGAATCTATAAATTAGAGTATAGACATTTTAATGTTAACTCTTCCTATCCATAAACACAGTATATGCTTCCATTTATCTTCTTCCATTTCTTTCTTCAGTGTCTTATAATTTTCTGTGTACAGATCTTTTACATCCTTGGTTAGGTTTATTCCTAGGTATTTTATTCTTATTGAAGAAACTGTGAATGGGAGTAGTAAGTGGAAGCTACACTAAGCTCCTCTCAGGACCAATCTGGAATTACAACTAAATTGTAGAGAAATCATCCAGAATAACCAACTGAATACTAGCTGGAGAGAAGCCTTGTAATCAAGGACAGACAGAAGAAACCACTTCACCACAAGACTGGTAGACAGTGTGGAGAAGGCACAAGAGAGCTGACTGGGCTCCCATGGGTGGCAGCTGAAGTTCCAAAGGGATATTTCAGCAGCTGGGTGTTCCCCCTGAGAAGTGTGAGGTCTAAACCCCAAGATGGGTTCCCCAGCCTATAGAACTAGAGCCTGAAAGAAACCCGGATAGCATACAGCTGTGAAAAGCTGTAGGATTTCTGTCTGCCAGAAAGAGATGGCTAGAGATGCAGAGAGCCTCTTAAAGGGCCAATGCACAAAATTTCATTTGTAACCACTTACCCTGGGCTTCAGCAGAGGAAGGGCAGAGTGGAATAAAGATGCTTGAGTAAAGTCTGGAGCTGAAGGCTCCTCCAGAGGTTCCTCCAGAGAACTAGGAAAAACCACCAGGAACCTTGTGCTGAGGCATTCCCCATACTGCAAAGCCATCTTTCTCAGGCAAAGCACTCCTCTCTAAATGGCATCAGCCTGAGGGGAAGCAATAGCCCTGCCTGGAGGAATTACTCTGTCCCACCCTGTGTTGCTTAAGCCAGACTGCTGATTACACATTGATTAGATTAATAATTGAGTAAAATAGTGGCTGATTAGTTTAACATCTAAGGTGGAAAATACAAAGCAGGAGCCAAAATGGGAACAAAGAAATCAACCCCAAATGAAAGAACAAGAGAATTCTCTGGAAAAATTAGATGAAATGGAGGCAAGCAATTTATCAGATAGAGAGTTTAGAGTAATAATTATAAGAATACTCAACAGCATGAAAAAAGATGTAGAAACCATAAAAAAGCACTAGTCAGAAATAAAGAATGCAATATTTGAGACAAATAATACACAGGGAGGAATAAACAGTAGGTTAGATGAAGCAGAGGATAGAATCAGTGTTTTGGAAGACAAGGTAGAAAATAACACCTAGGCAGAGCAGGAGAAAAGAATTTTAAGAAAAATAAGGAGAGCTTAAGAAACATTTTGGACAGCATGAAACGCAGCAACATCCACATCATATGAATGAATACCAGAAGAAGAGAGTGAGCAAGGGTTGAGAACATATTCAAAGAAATAATGACTGAAGACTTGCCTAGTATGGTGAAGGAAAATGTCACACAAGTCCAGGAAGCTTAGAGAGTCCCAGACAAGTCGGAATCAGAGACCTACACCAAGATACATCATAATTAAAATGGCAAGGCTTAAAGACAAAGAATCCTAAAAGCCACAAGAGAAAAGCAGGTATTTACCTACAAGAGAGCATCAATTAGACTAGCATCTGATTACTCAACAGAAACATTTCAAGCCAGAAGAGAGTGGTGTGAAATATTCAAGGTGATGAAAAATCAAAGACCTACAACCAAGGCTACTTTACCCAGCAAGGCTATCATTTAAATTGAAGGAGAAATAAAGAGCTTCCCAAACAAGAAAAAACTGAAGGAGTTTGTTAACACCAAATCTGTACTGCAACAAATGTTAAAGGGCTTGCTTTAAGAAGAAGAAGAAAAAGAGAAGAAAACAAAGGCAGAGGAAAATATTCTAACAACATGGCACTACATACATATCAATAATCACCTTAAATATAAATAGCTTAGATGATCCAAACAAAAGACATAGGGTAGCTGGATGGAATATATATATATATATATATATTTTTTAAGTGTAGTATGATGTGTAATGAGCTGACCTTTTTAAGTGTAGTGCTGCCTAGGAGATACAGTAATTAGCATTAAATAAATCAATACCTGCTGCTTCTCATGCTGAGATAATCTACAAAAGGTTGCCCAAGTGAGGAGCAGCTTCTTTGCAAACCATCCTCTGAATTCCAGAGTAATCATCCTAAAGCTTTTGATCCAGAATGCAATATTCAAATCACTGTCTCTGATCAAGGCATCTTCTAATACTCACGGTTATCTTTGCCAATCAGTAGTCAACAGCCTCTCATGGTACTTTGGTTCCAGCTGTCCTGGAGAATTAACACCTATATCTTATGGACCTGACATTTTACACATATATTTAATGTTGCCTCCAACCCTACAAGATGATATAATAATTCTTATTTTTATAGAGATGACCAGAGGTCAAAGGGATTCAGACACCTGTGCAAGGTTTCATGGTAAGAAGTAGCAGAACTGGGATTTCAACCCTGGTCTGACTCCAAAATCCATCCTCCTTTACCCTATACTAATGTCCTGCTAGTTTCACTATTTTGTGAATTCATTTTAAATCAACATTATTATAATTAAGATTTTACTTATCCCATGCTCCCTTTTTGCACATGAAATATGTGCTAAGCCATCATTAATAGTAACTTATCCCTAAATTTCCTTCCCAGTTACAAATGTCAAAATTACCAACTCAAAATATTCTTTAGTTTGGGGCTATTGATGATATAGGACAATAAAAGCATTACTGGTTTTTTTTTCCCCTGCATGTCAAAGTAAGCAAGGCATCAAAGTCAGGAAGAATTAGGGCTAAGCCAGCTTACTAGTGATAAGAGGTTGACCGTTTCTGCCATCTAAGGATGAATAAGAAAAAAGTGGGACAGAAGATGATGGTAAGAGGAAGATAATTTGAACATACATTTAAAGAGGTGTTTAACTTTTGGTGTATTGTTTTACCATGTAAACTGTCCTTTGTCTTACTATGCTAAGAGGAACTGAAAATAAAAATAAATTCTAATACATTATCTGTCACAGAATAATGACATTCTAAAAAATGTTCTTATAGCAGGTAATTATTTTGACAGGTTTTTTTTCTCTTTCAGATGTTTCCTCAGATCCAGATGAACTAACAAATATTGCTACAAAATTTCCAGAAATTGCATATTCTTTGGACCAGAAGCTTCGTTCCATTATAAACTACCCTGAAGTTTCTGCTTCTGTCCACCAATACAATAAAGAGCAGTTTATCAAGTGGAAACAAAGCTTAGGGCAAAACTACTCAAATGTTATAGCAAATCTTAGGTGGCATCAAGACTGGCTGAAAGAACCTAGGAAATATGAAAGTGCAATTGATCAGTGGCTTAAAACCAATAGTAACCAAAAGAAATATGAAAATGAGAAACTGTTTCAGAACTATATAGAAATACTTTAAAAGATCATGATTAATTATGTATTTTAAGTGTTTGTTTTAATAATTACTGTATTTTTAAAGAATGTACACTATTTTAAAGTAAAAAACAATCATTATAGAATTATATATTTTCGAAAATATTAACATCTTCTTACTAACTTCTAACAACTTCATGGAAGCATTAAAAGAATGGAAGCAAATGGTAGAATATAAAATTATATTCCTCTGAATAATATGGAATGTAGAGTAACTATTATTGATTATTACTTATGAACCATAAAATAGTAATTTGTGAGTATTTGATGGTGTCTGATGAGTTATTTGTATCTGATGGGACATGGACCATTTTTATTTTTTTCGATGCAAGTATCTGATGAGACATAGTCCCTGAATAAGGCTGACTTTAATACTGTTTTTTTAAATAGGTAATATATGTACAAAGTACAAGCTTTGGAAGGTACAAAGGAGTTAACAGTGAGGATAAAGTCTCCCTCCTTTCCCAGTCCCCCAGTCACCCAGTTCCCCTTCTTGGAGGCCACTACTATAACCTATGTATCCTTGTAGAGACAGATCATGCATATGCAAACTCTATATTCTTTACCCCCCCACACACACAAATGGTAGCATACTATACAAGAATGTTCTGTATATTGCTTTCCCCCCCCACTTAACAATAGATACCTTGAACAACAACAAAAAATTTAAAAATAGATACCTAGAAATGACATTGCTGGGGTAAGACCTATATCTAGCAAAATATTACCAAATTATCCCTAAAGAAATTATACCAACTGAAACTCTCATCAGCAATGCAAGCCCTCACACCCTTTGCTAATCTAATAGATTAAAAATATATTATTACTGCCCAGGCCAGGTAGTTCAGTTGGTTAAGCATTGTCCCAATATGCCAAGGCCGCGGGTTTGATCCCCAGACAGGGCACATACAAAAAGCAAGGAATGAATGCATAAAGAAGTGGAACCACAAACCAGTGTTTCTCTAAAATCAATAAATAAAATTTTTTTAAATATATATTTTATTTTTATGAGTAACGCATATATTTTCATATATTTAATAACCATTGGAATTTCCTTTACTATGGCCTTCTCTGTTTTTCTATTCTTTGCCCATTTTTCTTTTGATGGGTGGTCTTTCTTTTTTACAGGCCTGCTTTAGGTATTAGTTCTTTGTCTGTAAAAGGAGCTGAAAATATTTCTTTTCCTTTTTGTAATTTGTCTTTTGGCTTTGTTGTCATGTTTTTAACATGTATAAATTGGTATTTTCATGTAATCAAGTATATGAATATTTGCTTTTGTAGCTCTGGGATTTTGTGTCATGTATATTCAGAATGGTCTTCCCCATTTATCTTCTTTTAGAGTTTTATTTTTCATCTTTAGATCCTTGACCCATCTGGAGTGATTACCAAGGAGAGATCTAACTTTAGTTTGTTTTATAAGATGGCTACCCAGTTGACCTTCCACTGAGTAAACATTGGTCCCATTGATCAGAAAATGCCACTTCAAGACTTCCAGTCAAGATTGTGGCACAAGCAAACATGACTCGTCTCCTTACACAACCACATCAAAATGACCACTAAAATTAGAACAACCATCAATCAGAACTGTCAGAAATTGAGTTCAGTGAAAGTCTGACAACCATGGAATTAAATAAACCACTTTCATCCAGACTGGTAGAAGAGGCGGACTCACAGAGTGGGCTGGTCCCACATCCAGGTATGGCAGATAAAAATTTGGAAGGGATATCTCAGGAGCAAGGAGTCTAGCCCCACACCAGGTGCAGCAGTCCAGGATTTCAGTGCCAGGAGGATAAGTCCACATAATTTCTGCCTGCAAAAACCAGCAGGGATTGAGTCAGTGGAAGAAACTTCTGGAGTCCCAAGAAGTTCTGCTTAACCCACATGTGGATGGACTTAGATTCACTCCCTCTGAGCTCCAGCTCTGGGGTAGCAGCTTGAAAGGTACTAGTACTAGTGGCATATGGGGAGGAAATGAAGTGTCGGGCATCAAGGTGAAAGCTAGTGGACAGCTTTCTCCTAAACAGAAAGGCAGGCAAAGGTCATTATCCTTTTCTGAGCCCTCCCCCAACAGAGCCACAAAGCTACAGGCCATTTCTGAGACTCCGTCAACCTGGCTAACAATGTGTGCCCCACCCTGGAGATCCCCTAAGACTCCATTCCACCCAACTTATGGACCCATGACTTTTCAATATGAATGCTGGGTCTTGGCTTATGCTTTACAACTTCCTATATCCTATCAAACAAGCAACAGCTGGCCTCAGTGAGCTCCCAACCTGTGTACTTCTTGCTAACTGGACCCAGGCCTGGCACTAGCTGCAGCTAGTCTAGATTCAGAGCTTGGCTTCACTGTGAATCTCCAAGCCCAGTACAAATAGCAGCCATCCCAAATTGTTTTATAGCCTAGGCAGGGTGGCCCCAGGCTGACCTTGGCCTGTACCATCTGAGAGACCCCACAACCTGCACACCCAGTGGGCAGCTACAGGTCATGTCAGAGTACCACCACCCTGCCACTGCATAACTGATTCTCCATGGAGGGGAGAGATTAGTGGTCATTAGTCATAGCCAGAACTTGTAGCTGACCAGCCTGGGTAAACCCCACCTATTGATCTGCCAACAGGAACCAAGCCTCAACTGCAAGAGGAGGCTGTACTCAGCCCACAAGAATGGTGTACCTTCCGTATCCAGCTTGGGTGATAGGGGAGGCTGTGCACTGGACCCTACAGGATACCTACTACTTTAGGCCACACTACCAAGTCAAAACAGCTCTACCAAATACATAGAAACAAACACAGGGAGGCTGTCAAACTGAAGAGATAAACATGGCCCAAATAAAAGAATAGATCAAAACTCCAGAGAGAGAGCTAAATGAAATGGAGATAAGCAATCAGATGCAGAGTTCAAAACACTGGTTATAATGATATTCAAGGAACTTAGTGAGGACATCAACAGTGCAAAACAGATACAGTCAGAAATGAAGGATACACTAATTGAAATAAAGAACAATTTACAGGGAAACAACAGTAGAATGGATGAAGCTGAGAATCAAATCAATGATTTGGAACAAAAGTCAGAAAAAACAACCAATCAGAACAACAAGAAGAAAAAAGAATCCAAAAAAATTTGAGGTTAGTATAAGCAGTCTCTGGGACAACTTCAAGAGGTCCAACATTTGCAACATAGGGGTGGCAGAAGGAGAAGAGAAAGAGCAAGAAATTGGGTATCTATTTGAAAGAATAATGAAAGAAAACTTCCCTAATTTGGTGAAGGAAATAGACATGCAAGTCTAGGAAGCTTAGAGAATCCCAAACAAGATGGATGCAAAAAGGCCCACTCCTAGACACATCAAAGTTAAAATCCCAAAGGTTAAAGATAAAGAATCTTAAAAGCAGCAAGAGAAAAGAAGGTAGTTACCTACAGGGGAGTTCCCATGAGAATGTCAGTTGATTTCTCAAAAGAAACTTTTCAGGCTAGAAGGGACTGACAAGAAATATTCAAAGTCTTGAAAAACCGGGACCTACAACCAAGATTGCTCTACCCAGCAAAGCTATCATTTAGAGTCGAAAGGCAGATAAAGTGTTTCTGAGGCAAAAAAAAAAAAAAAAAAAAAGTAAAGGAGTTCATCATCACCAAATCATTATTATATGGAGTGTTAAAGGGACTTATTCAGGAAAAAGAAGATCAAAACTATGAACAATAAAATGGCAATAAATACATACCTATCAACAATTGAGTCTAAAAATCAAACTAAGCAAACAAGAACAGAGACAGAATCAAAGAAATGGAGAGTGTTTTAATGGTTTCCAGATGAGAGGGAGTATGGGGGAATAGGTGAGGAGATGAGGGGATTAAGAAGTACAAATAGGTAGTCACAGAATAGCTATGAGAATGTAGTACAGTATAGGAAATGGAGTAGCCAAAGAATTTATACACACGACCCATGGACATGGACAATGGTGTGAGGATTGCGAGGGAGTGGGGGATGCTAGGAGGAGGGGGAGTAGGGGAAAAAAATTGGGACAACTGTAATAGCATAATCAATAAAATATAATTTTAAAAAATGCCACTTTATATAACATCTTTTATGAAATAAATTTATCTTTTCCTCTGTGGATCTGAAATGCCATTTTATTATATACCAATGTCTCCTTTTCATTTGGTTCCTTTCAGAACATTTTTTTGTTTTGCAGTGGACCACTCTAATTTGTTATTAGGGTGGTAGTCAATATCTGGTCAAACTCGTCCCTTTGCAATAGTTTTCAGAATTGTCCTGGGTACTCTTGCTAACTTATTTTTTTCCATACAAATTTAGAATAAGTTCATCTAGTTTTTAAAATGAAAAATACTGTTAGCCTTTTTATGAAATCATAAATTTATAGCCAAGTTTAGGGAGAACTAAATTTGTTAAAGTATTCTGTTATTCTAAAGAATAGAGTATGCTTTTCCCTTTCTTCAAGCCTTCTGTTATAACACTCAGTACTATTCTAAGGTTTCCTCAAATTGATCAGTTTCTTCACAGAAGTATTTGGAAAATAAGGCCTTTATAAAACACCACCTCGGCCTCACCCCACACCAATTGAATTAGAATTCTAGGGATGACACCTGGGCACTGTTTTGGTCTTAGTGTTGTTTTGTTTATTAAGTTTCTCCAGCTGACAATCCTAATGTGTAGCCAGAGGTGGGTTTACTTCTAGTTATTTTATCGATCGCTGTTGGTGGTGCAATTTTTAAGTAGATCTTCCATTATATCTTCTGATTATTGTTTATATGCAAACTCTATTTCTATATTTTTATTTTGCACCAAACCATCTTATTGCCTATAGTAGTTTTTCAGTTGGTATCTTATATTTTACAGGTTAAAAAAAATCTGATCTGCAAATAATAATTTTACCCAACTTCCTTTTTCAAACTGTCCTTTTTCTTTATGAGCCAGTTTATCTCCTTTATTTTATTGTTCTTTGGTGAATTTGCATGAGCTTTTCTTTGTAGTTATGTATGAATGTCTAAGAAATAAATTTGACTTCAGGTATGTTCTGAAGCAAAATCCTTAAGAAAAAGATATCAATCTTAGATTATTAAGGTTAAAATTAAAATATTCAAATCTACCTTCCATCTCCTAATTAAAACTGAAAAACACAAAATAGCTAATATGTGGGCATGTGTGCCAATTTTAGGGAAAAATAAAACAACAATAGTAGAGATGTAGTTCTGAAAACACAGGCATGTGAAGATAGATAAAACTACCTTCTTCTACACAAACCCCTTAATATGCTTCCATTGTTAGAATTTACCAAGCATTTGTAATGTTTTAAGCAGGGTCATAATAGGTAGAATTGAATTTTAAGAACAATATCTATATAATTCAAAATGTTATCTAACAACCATGAAAACAAAAAAGAAAAACTTAGAAAACCAAGACAAATTATGGCAGAATCTGAGAGAAGCCAACAGAAATTATAAACTGGACTGGGGACCATATTTGGGCTTCATTTTTTACTACCTCCGTGGCTACCACCTTGTTACAATCCACCATAATCTGTTGTTTAGAATTTTGCAATAGCCTCCTAAGGTCTCCCTGAGTCTGTCTGTGGCTTTCTTCAGTCTATTGTTACCACAGCAACCACAGTGATGCTGTTAAAAATATATCCAGTTACATCACTGAATACTCAAAACCCTCCACTGGTTTCCCATCTTACTCTCTAAAAGTCAAAGTTATTACATTGGCCTTCAAGGCCCTAAATGATCTGGCCAAATGTTCTGTCTCAGACCTCATCTCCATCCACACTTCCATTTCATTCACTGCTCCAGCCACACTGATCTCCCTGTTATTTGCCAGCACACCAGCCACATACCATCTCAAGACCTTTGTGCTTATCAATTCTTTCTGCCTGGAATACAGTTCTTTCCTCAAATTTCTACATGGCTCAACTGTTTCCTCTCTAGGATAGTGCTCAAGTGCTACCTTCTCACAAGGGCTTCCCTGGTTTATTTTTCTCCACAGAAAACACTACCACCCAATTCAGTGTATGTTTTGCACATTGAACTTGCATGTAGTGTCTCCCACACCTCCTCCCCGACTAGGATGAAAGCTCCATACAGTCAGGGCCTCTTGTCCTTTTTGTTTCCTAACAAAAGTATCCCAAGTGCCTGACACATGGGAGAAACTTAGCACTCGTTGAGTTCATCTGATTTGGAAATAGAATTTTTCAGATGTCACATTGGAGGAGAAAACTAACCTGTTAGGTCATGGCAGAACAGGGGGTGAAAGGGAGTGGCCTGCTCAATAAAGCAGAACTTTCTAGAAATGGTAACTTCTAGCAAAAGCCTACACAGGAGAGTTGACAAAGGGATTCTATCTCTCTTTGTTCTGCCCTTTTCTATGAAAAAGGCCAGATACTAACTATTTTAAGCTTTGTGAGCCATATGGTCTCTTAGACAACTACTCAGTTTTGCCCTGGTAGCATGAAAGCAGCAACAGACAATAGTAAACAAATTAGCTGCCTGTATGCCTATGAAACTTTGTTTCCCAGAACTCAGGGTTCAACCTGTGAGCCATAATTCACTAACTTCCAATCTAGAACAAATAGTTCACAAGTTTGCTGCAAATTGGAATCACCTGAATATGTTTAAAAACTACCAATGCCTGGCTCTCACCTTTAAGCATGGAGATTTTTAAAAACTTCTCTATTTAAAAATGAAGAAATAACAAACACAATTTTTTCTTGTAAGAGAATAACAAAAAAAAAACAGTGATGAGGCTCATTATTGTTTGGATTATAGGGAAAACAAACATGCATTGCTTGTGCACCATGTCTTAAAATGCTTTCAAAATGCATGTGCTCTGTCTGCCCTAGCAATTTCAATTCTAGGATTTTATAAGGGAATAATTTAATTTAATGGAAGAATGTATGTGACGAGATGTTCTTCACAGAATTATTTATAAAGTGAAAGCTGGAAAACCTCTGCCCAGAAATAGGGGGCTATTTAAATCATTGTATTCACTCCACATTAAACATAATTACATCACATTTTTGACTCATTAAATGGGAAGTTGTCCAAATGTAATTTTAAGTGGGGGAAAAAAGCAGGATACAAAACATTGTAGATAGTATGATCTATTTCTTTTGTATGACCTATTTTTATAAATACACAGTTCTAGTCATTACAGTCTAAAGGACATATAACTTAAGTATTAACAATGATTATCTCTGGGTGGTCTGTGAAGTGGTTTTTGTTGCTAATCTGTATTGTCTAATTTTTCTGCAATTAATGTATACTATTTTATAATAAAACATATATTTAATTTAAAAATATATATATCACACTTAAAACATCACCAATATTGAGACAAACCAGTACTGTGTGCCCTGACCTTGTGGAAATTGTACTGAGGGACTGTTTAAAGGTACAGGAAGAATTAACTGTGGAAACTAAAAATTTAAAAATGCAATTACTTAACAAAATGTAAAAGAAAATGATATTCATAATATAACATTCAGCTGAGAATATTATCATTTCATACTAATGTAAACACTGAATATAGGTTTAACCTGAAATTACAATGTTACTTTATTAATAGTATGTGAAGAAATAGTAGGTACAGAGGTGTGAAAGCTAAATCTTTAACTTTATCTAATCAAGGATTTTACCTAAAATCACTGAATCAATAAACAGATTTATTTAGAATTATGAAGCACATACCAGAAAACCAGCACATAGAATCTGAATTGGACCTCTCTAGAAGAGTGGAAGGCGTGAGGATGTGTGGACAGGGAACCCTTTATTTTTATCAGCCTTCCAGTTCCAGTTGACTTTCAAAATAATGTGCATGTATTATTTTAATAAGAATTTTGAAATTAACATTTTATCAGGTCTTAGTAAAGTTCTGTACAATATAATTTCACTAGTAGAATCTTATTTTGTTATATTAAAGTATTTCAATATATTTGAAACAAATTACAGAACCATCTTGAAAAACATTAAACTGATATTGGCTAGGAGAATCGCTGAATTACAGGTATTGCTCAGAGAGAAGGAGACCAGGAAGAAGTGGATCGGAAGCTGGGATGACATATTACAAAGAGAAAGAACCCAGACAAAACTTTTTGAAAGGAAAAATGAAAATTAAACCAAGAGTTTGATTTCCCAAGGCTATCATTCTACCTCTTTCTTAAATATTCTGCCATGAATGGCTATTCCTACATCTCCCCAGAGCTCCCCTGGCCTCCTCTAGATAATACTGGCATACATATGAAAGGCATTTTTTCTTAAGTGATGGATTTATAGTCAAGGCAGGAACATTTGCTCAAAGTTATCTGAAATGCATCACATATCAACTCAAAACAAATTTACTAATACCTGCCATGTGTCAGGCCCAGTGCTAGGTACTAGTAATATAACGATGAAATGGTAATGTCTCTGTCCAAGGGACAATAGCTCAGGAAATGGGATTACTACCGCAAAGGGCAGGATTGCCATCTGTGCCCACCAGCCTTCCTATCCCCTGCACATTGAAGGGCCAGTGTTTTTTCTGCCTGGGAATGTGAACCCTACTAGACTCCCAGATCAGGAAGTGTAGGAATTCTACTTTCATAGTGACTAACATGGAGGGTGTCCAAAAGACAAACTGATGCTTCAAACAGGAAAAAACTAAATTTTTTCCTGAGGATGGAGGGCTAAAATAAATGAGGCAACATATAATCTAAACCAGTTCCTATAGCTTGGATTTCTTTTTTAAAAAAATTTGGCCCCATTATTATTTCCTTAGTCACCTTTTCTCTAGGCGTATTGGAGGCGTAGTCCTCCCAGCAACCCCCCATCTGCTGGAAAACAGAATCAAGAGAATGAGAAGCCATGATGACACATCGTCCCTGGATGGAAAGCAACAAATGTACTATTTGCATAAAACCTATCAATGTCCTCTTCAGACTAATGAAATGAATTTTACACCACCGAGAAAGTAGCTGTGATCCTCTGCTCCTAGTAAAAAGGAGTATTTGAAACTGTCTGTAAACCACTGCAACTCTAATTGGCAAACAACATCACTGACTTTTGTCTAAGTAAATCTTCTCATTGGTAGCCAGAGAAAGACATATCTTTATCAATTGGCATCCTCTGTGCTCAAAATGCTGGTAGGTTTCTTGTGTTTCTGTTTTTTTCTCCTACTAGTGCAGATCCATGGCATCTCAAACTTTTTTTTTTAATCAAAACTACTTCCGCCCTGCCAAGGTGGCTCAGTTGGTTGGAGCGTGGTCAGCGCACCAAAACGTGCTGTTCGATTCCCGCTAAAGACACTTACCTAGGTTAAAGTTTGATGCCCAAATTGGTTTCCCGTGGTTCCCATTGGTTTCCCGTGGTGCGCGGGAAAACAATCTCCCCTTCCTCACCCCTCCCCTCTTTCAAAAATCAATAAACATATCCTTGGGTGAGGATTAAGGGGAAAACTACTTTCTTTACTATTTTTTTTCCTACTGGCAATCACGAAACTACCTTTGAGGGGTACAATCTCAGTCGGGAGCTTCATCTTTTGTGTGTTGGTCCTGGGTTAACATGAGCCTTTACAACAGCCCCTCAAAACGACCTTCTGTCCTGAAACGCTCTACTCGAGAATAGCCAACAGGGTGGGTTCCAGAGCTCAGTGGTCTGCGCCTCCTGCAGGGGCAGCTTTTGGGGGCCTTGGGAGAGATTGGAAGGGGAGAAAGGATTGGGAGGGGAGACTCCGGGAAGGTGGAGAATAGGAATGATGTGTGTTGCTCGAGTGTACAACCCACATGCGAGTGTACAACCCACATTCGAGCGACTAGTGACGAGGACAACCTATAAAAAACAACTAAGCGCAAATCTACCGAATCCAGCTTCCTCTCTATGCAAGTGCGTTTTCAACTATGGAACTGATAGACCCGGCCTCGCGCCCCACACAGCCTCACCTCCACCTGGGTTTCCCGCGCCCTGCCTACAGTCTCCAGTACCTACTCTTCCTTTAGACTAAGGATGGAGTATCCCTTCAGCCACTCAACTCTGTCTCCGGCGCCCAACCTCTCCGTACCCATCTTGCTCGGCTGGGGTATCAATCTGACTTCCGGACAGGAAGTCCCGGCGCCCCCGCCGCCGCTGCCGCCGCCCCCCGGGTCGCCCAGCCGCCTGGTCTACCTGGGGGTTATCCTGGTGCTGTCCGTGGCCGGCAACGCCAAGGTACTGTGCCGCCTGTGTGGCGGCGGCGGGCCCTGGGCGGGTCCCAAGCGTCGCAAGATGGACTTTCTGTTGGTGCAACTAGCCCTGGCTGATCTATACGCGTGCGGGGGCACCACGCTGTCGCAGCTGACCTGGGAGCTGCTGGGCGAGCCGCGTCGGGCGGCGGACGACTGGGAGTGCCGCTTAGTGCAGCTACTGCAGGTATCCGGCCGGGGCGCCTCGGCCCACCTGGTGGCGCTCATTGCCCTCGAGCGTCAGCGCGCCTTGCGCTGTCCGCAAGGCCCGCTGCTGCCGGCCCGCGTCTTAGCGGCCCTGGGCTGGCTGCTGGCTCTGCTGCTAGCGCTACCCCCGGTCTTCGTGGTGCGCGGGGGAGCCCCGTCCGCGCGACCCGCCCAGTCCCCGGACTCCCGAGCCTGGGCCGAAGGGCGTCGCTGCCGCGGCATCTTTGCGCCTCTGCCACGCTGGCACCTGCAGGTCTACGCGCTGTATGAGGCCGCCGCGGGATTCGCGGTGCCGGTCGCAGTCCTGGGCGTCGCTTGCAGCCGCCTGATCTGCACTTGGTGGCAGCGCCCGCCTCCAGCCCCATCTGCTGCGGCGCCCAAGTCAGCGAGTCCTGGCCGAGCCGCCACCCACGGCGCGCTACCGCGCGCCAAAGTACAGAGCCTGAAGATGAGCCTGATGCTAGCGCTGCTCTTCGTGGGCTTTGAACTGCCCTACTTTGTTGCTCGGCTGGCAGCCGCGTGGTCGTCCGGACCGGTGGGAGAGTGGGAAGCTGAGGACTTGGCGGTGGCGCTGCGCCTCGTGGGGGTGGCTAATAGCGCCCTCAACCCCTTCGTCTACCTCTTCTTCCAGGCGGGCGACTGCCAGCTCTGGTGGTGGCTGCGGAAGCGCCTGGGCTCTCTCTGCCGTGCGCAGAAGGGAATCTCGGAGGACGACGAGGGGGCCCAAGTCCACCAGGTGCTCCACCGCCACCGCTGGCCCCACGCCCACTACCACCACGCTCGGCGGGAGCAGCCAGAGAGAGGCTGCTTGCGCCCACCTCCGCCGCGTCCCCGGACTCTGCCCTGCTCCTGCGAAAGCGCATTCTAGGTGGTCCATGGCCAGAGACAGGTCATCTGTCGCTAGGGCACAGCCTCCGGGGAACACGAGGCTGGCCACCTGGGTCAGTCTAGATTGCAACGGACAGGAGAACAGGAGGGTCTTCGAGAGAGGGACACTGAAGCTGTCCACTTTCTCCACTCTCCCGTTATATTCCTTTGTAATGTTTACACTCCCCTACATTATTTCAACCTCTTTTCTTCCTTTCAGTTCCTTTTCACAATTTCCCACTTGGAAACAAGGGAGTGAGCCATTAGGAAACTGTAAAAGCAGTCCAAGCTACAGCTCTTTTTGACGTGCTCTGTTACACTCCCGTGGTTTTCTGGATAACATCATCTGTTTTAGCTAAATTGCCAAGATTTTATTTGATGGTTTATTAACTGTTTGGGCTTATTTCGAATTGTGTTTAAATCAAGTATACCTTCGGGGCCAATTTGCCATTCTTTCCAGGAGAAAAATCTCCACGTTGCCCTCCCTGAAGAGCCTGGAAATTGCACCAATGATATCGTGAGAAATGTAATTGTGCCGTTACTTCAGAGCCACAGAGTATTTGTAAAATAAAAACATTTCCCACAGCACAATTAGTATTGTTTTTTGTTTCTTAACATGGTAATGTGTTTTCTCCGAAGAAAATTAATGTGGCCTTTATTCCCAGTATAGCTTCCACTTAAGTAGAAATTTGGCTTGTAGGAGGGACACATAAAAGCTTCCCTTAGTCCCTTTCGAAAATGCCCAGTTTTGGTAGGAAGTTGTCTCTGCACCCAGACCTGCCTCTACAGCGGCCGTACTGTCTCTAGGTGGAACCTCTCAGCACGTGCCCCTGGCAAACTGGAGAAAAGAAGTACCCAGGTGGTGGATATGGGTGGCGGTCACTGTCTCAGGTTGGGGAGCCTCATAGAAATTTGCAGCTAGGAAGGAAGCTGCGACCTCAGAATGCTGCATGTACATATAAAACTCCCTTTTAAAAAATGAAAGCAGTGTCTATTGGTGTGGAATGCTGAGAACAAAGTCAAAGAGCAGATTTAATTGGCATCCTCCTAATTATCCTTTGATTCTATAGCAATCATGAACAATATATCCATGGGTTTCCCAGTGTCTTTCAGCTGAAAATCTGCAAGCTTTTTATTATCATGTTTCCTGTTCCTGCACAAATGCAGGACTAAGATGCAGAAAGAAGCAAGGGCTGGGTGGAATTCACTTGCAGAGTCAATGCTCTCGCCAGGCTTTCTTTGCTTTGTTCAGATACATACAATCATATTTTTGTTTAAAAGAAAAACATCTCTACAAGTTGAGGACAGAAGGTAAAATTGAATGTGGACTGGCTATAAGTTGATATTTGGGAATTAATGTTAATTTAAAGTGTGATAACACTTGTGGTTATACAAGCATGTCTTTGGAGTTTTCAGAGGTGAAGTGTAACGATATGAAGTCTGCAACTAATTTTCAAATTATTCAAAAACAACAACTATGTATATATTTAACAATGTTAACATTTAAAAATGTTAACAACTATTGCAGCTCAGTGGTGAATATGTGGGCGTTCTTTTGTATTATTCAATTTTTCTTTAAGTTTTGTAATAAAAAGTTAAAAAAAGAGGGCAGCCATATTTAACCTAGTGTTCCAAACATTTAACCATGGAACTATTTTTCCTTTATAACATATTAATATGGAAGCATCTGCTGCTTCACAAGTATACTCTAGGACACTTTTGCTAAGGGCAGGATTTTGGTAACTACATTTTAAAATATACAGTAATGATAAATATTCACTGGAGAATAAAATCTTTTTAAAAATTCAAAATATATTTTTAAAGCTCCAGTTAGCTGAGGGAATGTTTGCTGAATCATTTGCAAGGATGCAGTTCTAATGCTCCTAACATTGCTGTGACCTCATTGGCCAGAGGAACAAAGGCTGCAGCTTGCATAGTGAGTCCTGAACATCTAGTACCCAAATCTTTTCTCATGGTTAACCTCATGGATTTTGACACAGGCTAAACTTTCAGTCATATGTATCCTTCTGTGCTTAATAAGATGAAATTCTATATCACTTAGAGCATTTTCAGGAAGAGAAATAAAAGTGCATAGGCATTTGACACTTCCCATTATGGATGAAGGATAAGAAGAACTCATAATTTCTTGTGATGGTTAATTTTATATGATAACTTGACTAGGCCATGGGGTGCGCAGATATTTGATTAAATGTTTTTTCTGGGTGTGTCTATAAGGATGTTGATGGAGGAGCTGAGCCTTTGGCTCAGGAGACTGAGTAGATTGCACTCCCAAATCTGAGAGCCTGAATAGAACAAAAGGTGGAAAGAGGGAGAGGCCTGACTACTGGACTGGGTTGTGAGTCTTCTTACCTTGAACTAGAATTATACCACTGGCTCTCCTGAGTCTCCAGGGGTTAAGGCTGGGGCCCTAACTCTATCCCCTGAGAGTCACTGTACTACTGGGTTTCTCTCATTTCAGGTTGGTGTAAAATCTCATCAAATTACATAGTAAGCAGTTAAATATCTCAATTTGATACGGGGTTAGAGACTATAACCCAGATATTCTGATATCCAGGCCTTTGACGCCCATTTTTAAGGCATCAACACCATTTTACCGATCTGCCAGTGATTTAGTTGTCTGTTGCTGCAAAACAAACCATCCCAAACCTTAAGGCCTATGATTCATTATTTCTCACAGGTCTGTGGGTTAGCTCAGCAGTTCTTCTGCTGGTTACTCCTAAGCTCACTCATGCAAGTGCATTTAGCTGGAGGGTCTTCTGGGAATGGGGTCTAGCTGCGATGGCTGAGTAGCAGGGCCTTCCTGTCTACCTGATCTTTCAGTTTGGGTTGCTTCATTGCATGGTAGTCTAAGGGTAGCTTTGAGAGGGTAAATACCTATGCACAGATGCTATTTTTAAGACTTTGCTTGTGAAAGATCTGCTGATGTCCATTGCCAAAGGGGGTGATGTGGCCAAGCCCATAGTCTTTGTGGGAAAAAGTTACACAAATGGTGGATATCAAGAAGAGTGATTCACTGGGGGACATTATATAATACTCTACCCCAGCTCATTTTATGGTTGTCACTTTTTGGTCTGGTTAAATTTTAAATGGAAAATATGTTTGTGATAAGCAATATATCTACACATATAATGAAGTTCATATGTTATTTTGCACATGGTGAATCTTTAATAAATAGATCTTTAATAAATAGCAAATGAATTAATTAATAAATTATCAATGACAAGAATTTGCAAATAATATTATTAATCATTGTAGTTTGAGGTTTCTCAACAAAGTCCGTAATACAAGAATTACATCTTTTATTTTCTCCCATTTGCTCCCCTATGCCCTTATAGTATCCAATCCCTTGATACATCCTGGCTGAAATAAAATAAAAGTGCACTTGGAATGTTCCTATTTCTTTGATAAACAACATGCAATAAGCAAAAATGAGACTTTTTTTCTTGCCAAAATTCTTCAATTAGGGGTTGCTTGCTGCTACAAATAACAAAATCCAGCTTAATTGCCCTAAGCAAATGCATTGGTCTATAAGTTTAGTACCTATCTTTTCTTCTACATAAATTATTGTTTCAGGTTTTATATTTAAGTCTTTGACTCATTTTGAATTTATTTTTGTAGATGGGGACAAACTGTAGTCTAGTTTCAATCTTTTGCATGCAGCTTTTCAATTTTCCCAGCGTCATTTATTGAAGAGGCTTTCTTTTCTCAATTACATGTTTTTGGCTCCTTTGTCAAAAATTATTCACCATTATACATGTGGGTTTATTTCTGGGTTCTCAATTTTTTTCATTGGTCTGTGCATCTGGTTTTCTGCCAATGCTGCACTGTTTTGATTATTGTCACTCTTTGGTATAATTTGAATTCAGGTAGTGTGATACCTCCAGCTTCATTCCCTGTTACCAGTATTACTTTAGCTATTTGGGGTCTTTCATGTTTCCATACAAATCTGATGATTTTTTGTTCCATTTCTTTTAAAAAATGGCATTGAGATTTTGATGGGAATTGCATTAAATCTGTGTATTGCTTTGGACATTTTAACTATGTTGATTCTTCCAGTCCATGTACAGGGAATATATTTCCATTTCATTGCGTCTTTTTCAATCTCTTTTAATAATGCTTAGAGAAGATTTCATGAATTTGAGCCCAAAAGTCAGGGAAGTAAAGGCAAAATTAATAAATGGGACTGTATCAAACTAAAAAGCTTCTGTACAGCAAAAGAAACCACGGACAAAACTAAAAGGTAACCAACTGAATGGGAGAAGGTATTTGCAAACAACAGCTCTAACAAGGGGTTGATATACAAAATATATAAAGAACTCATATGACTCATCACCAAAAAAACAAACAATCCAACTAAAAAAAAATGGGCAGAGGACCTAAACAGGCACTTCTCCCAAGAATACATACAAATGGCCAACAGAGACATGAAAAGATCCTCAACTTCGGTAGCTATTAGGGAAATGCAAATCAAAACCACAGTAAGATAACCTCTCACATCTGTTATAATGGCTTTTAGCAATAAGACAAGTAATAAGTAATAACAAGTGTGAGAGAGGTTGTGGAGAAAAAGGGATCCTCATTCACTGCTGTTACAGCCACTATAGAAAACTGTATGGAGGTTCAAGCCTAACTATTACCAGTGAGATGACAAGACCTTAGCTTTTGTCTTCCTTCATTGCATTTGATTGTATAGCTCTTTAGTCTCTTTTATTCTAAAACAGTCTCCTGACATTTTTTTAAACGTATTGTGTTTTTTAGGAGACCATGCCAGTTTTCTTGCAGAATATCATACATTATTAATTTTTCTTAATATTTATTAAGGTATCTTCTAATGTATTCTTTTCCCAATAGGTTTCTTTACAGAAGTATGTCTCAGAGTTAATATGTTAATGTGCAAAATGATTCTCCAAGTGGACACCTTTAAGGAGCCTCTGCCCTCTTCATAATAACCCTTTTTTTGAGAATTGTCCCCATCACCAAACAAAACACACACAAGAATGCCTCTAGCAGTCACATATAGACTATGTAACCCCACCTTTGGGGCTAGCCCATTAGAAACACCTTGAAAATGAATGTAGATATAAGTGGTTGCAGAAATTTGGGCAGATTTAAGGAAGGAGAAGACTAAGAAAGCCAGGATAAAATAATCAGTATTTTCAGGTGAGTTCAAAAGTGATACAGTTATTAAAGTTGAAGATACTGATAATGCCTACTCCCTGAGAGAAAAGACAAGAGAATGGTGCTGAGTTAGGGCCCTAGAGAAGGTACAATCAAGATGACACATACTAAAGTAATGTCACGCTAGACAACAGCAGGGCAAGTACAGGTCTGGCTTAGATGCTGGACTGGTGGAAGGTTATCATCTATTGGTATCATCCAGCTAAAGGAAAATTTGTTCTTCACAGTGCATTCTATGCAGACCCAGGGGGAAAAATACTCTGGACTAGAAAACAAGGAGAAAGTAAAAGCAAGCAAGGAAAGCACTCAGCTT